TGATTGGCACCCAAAATCAAGGATACAAGCGCGCATGTTTCGCCTTTTCCAGTCGGTAAATTGTTCAACATGTCGGAAAAGGAAGAGTCGAACCGGAGCCTTCATGTTGTGGCGCGCGCGGATGGTCTTAAAGCCTTAGTCTCGATGTTCATGACTCGAAGCCGATTGTGAAACGACCATGGTGATATTTGCAGGTATTCTGCAAGATTACACCATTTGAAAAGAGTGTGAGAAGCCGCTGGCTCCATAAACATCGAGTACGTAGATATGGGCTGCGTCCACCAAAACACCGCAGACTTACTCCCTATATCGAAACTTCGAAACTAGTAACAACCCTTATATGAATCCTTTTGAAGTACTGTTCAGGTAGTGTATATACCCGGCTCGACGATCTCAATTCCATGGGACTAGACGGTACTTCAATTTAGAGTTTAGTTTCCATTGAAGCTAGTGAGATATAAAAGTCGACTCCTCTGCGCAGTCTTTTTCAAACCTTCAGTAAACTCTTCTCTCCTCATTTCTACCAAAAGTTTGTCTGTCAGGTTGTATAGGACTGAGGCCACTTCGGTGCTTTCGCTGTGCTAAAATAGTGTATGCAGACCACTCAACCATCAGAGAAACGTGGTTATGACAGCGGAGAGAGTTTGGAGTGCTCGTACATCGGAACGCTGGAATGTCAATTTTTAGAGTACAAAGCAACAGCTTCACTCCTCACTCCTTCTAGCGTGTCTAGCCGGATATATAAGCACTCCTCTTCACGCTCTTTTCTCACAAACTTTAAGCTGATTATCTTTTCTTTCGGATTACCAAAAATCAAAGATCTCAGCTCGATGGAGATCGTTCCGCGCTGGTGGTGTCTTTCCTATACCAAATTGGTGTTTGAGCAGCGCCGAAAGATCTGAGAAAACGTGTGAACCAGGAAGCAGATACTGCCATGTTCTTCACGAACGATGTTTTGTAGCACTTAGATTAGGTTTAGAGGCGTTTAGGGACCTCCTTCCACTTTGACTGCTCTCCTTCTCAAGACAACGAGCAACGTCCATGACATCGTATGTCTATTGCCCACCCTTCGTGCGCCTTTAGCTCTGGTCGGAACATGAATTTAGTGCGGGCTGGTTTCTAAGAAGAAATCTTGGTTCGCCGTATGATTGCGATAGCTTTGATAGGATTTTGTCATGGCTGGTTGAACTAGGGATGTTGAAGCGCCGATGGGGTGTTGACAAATTCGCTGGACCAACTTTGGTTGAACGTAGATCGAGGCCACTGATAAGATTAACAGACAGATGAGAAAGTCAAACAGATGGTTCGTGAACGGGTCTACGACTAGGTATAGTAGCACCAGGTGCAGTCGTATTTCGTATTTCGCAAGACTTTTAGCATGTCGTAGTTTGGTGGCTGCCGCCCAACTGCATTCTGGTAGCGTTCTGGGTCTGACGGAGACACGAAATACGAAACACGAAGAACGCATCTGGCGATGGTAGTGAACGCGACTACACCTACCTTCACTGGCCTTCGGCGATTTATGCCGCGCCCAGATGGGGGAGTAAGTCGTTCTAGCGTGCTGGTAGACGGCCGCTAACGGGTTCTCAAATATTCGGCGACGGAAGCCGGAGTCTGGGTCCTTCAACGACTTCCTGTCGATTACGCCACCGACCTGTCCGCGTCATCTTATGGCGAATGGGACGCGAGCGGGCTGTTCTCCATGAGCGCCAGACTGGGACGCCGGCCAACTGTTCTCAGATATCCACGCGACTCGGAGTTTTGGGTCTTCAACGACTTCCTGTCGATTACGCCACCGATTACCTAGGTGTCTTCCTCGTGACGAATCAGCCACAGGCGGACTGTTCCCCAGGATCTACCCGCATGTTCCAACGCCACACTACATTAGTATGCTGCCTTTGGCGAGTATCTACCACGTGAAACTTCAGGCACATGCTGATTTGGACAGGGTTGACGTGCGTCCTGAAAGACCTCGGGAGGACCCCGGATCGTGTCAGGCCGAGATGTGAGCCACCGTAGCGCGCCTCGGGGGTCCGATGGTGTACCTGATAATTGCCTTTTTGGTCGGATTTGAGCCTCAAAAGACTTTCAGGGGCCATTAACTAGCAAAATTCATGATGATGTCGCTGGGCTGCTGGGGAAAATAGCATGTTGCCGGGCTTTCCTATTGATGCCGAGTGACAGTTGAATGACGAGCGTTCAGGGTAGGAGCGGTCTAACGGAGGCAGCAACAGCAGCAATACTACCATTATCAAGGGATTTCTGACACGCCCCATTACCCAAAATGTCTCTTGTTTCCATTGCGCTCCTTGAGGATAGGTTGGAGGGTAGGAATGTAGACATTCACCCGACAGTGACGCTAGGCATTTGCCGACTGCCCAAGCCAACGTCTCCAGCCACATTAACTTGTCGTCATCTGTTGCCCTGTTGAAAACGTTAAGAGATAACCCCGACAATGTTCTATCTCTAGACTAATACAAGACTCGCACCGTAGCAACTTTCGCATTCGTCAAAAGCTTAAAGTAGTCCAGAGTACGTTCTAGACGTTCTCCAGCACGTGGCAGCGGATGTAGTTCCGATCGACGCTATGTTGGCGAGATGCCGATTCCCGTCCACAGGCACCATCATGATGGTGCATGTTTAAACTTCCCGCCCACAAATACCATCAAGATCGTGCATGGCTAAACTTTGTCGGTGCCATGAACTCGGGAGAATCTCCGCAGATGGTGTTTGAGATCCTTTAACTATGCCTCGCGGGCCAGCATCTGTATCTTGAGCAGCATCCAGTCCACTCTCGTAGTCGCAAACAACACTCATTCGCTACGAGAGCGCCTCCAGTAGACGCCATGCTGAACGATCTTTACCGACCCGGTGTCGTGAGCGAGCCTTGGGGACCACTCATCTCACCCGATTACACAGAAGACGAGTTCACCAATCTCGACGTCCTTGTCGCTTCCATTCCATGGGCCCTCACGTTGGCAAACGTTATACTTGCTTTGTGGCAGATCTACCATCAAACCAAATTGGCTAAAACTCCGATTCGAAGTCCTTATTTATGGATGGCCTGGTTGGAGCTGGGGGCTTGTTTTGCGTTGGGTCTTGTTGGCTATCTGCATGTGCTAAAACACATTCCAGCGAGTGAGTATCATCCATGCCCTCGAAAACACTGAGCTGATAAAGAGCAGGCTTTGCTTTCTACTTTGGAATCTGTAAGTTTCAATTACCGAATTGATCCTTCCACTACTGTACTAATGCTGCATAGTGGCCTGCTGGAGCTTCCAGGTCATGCTTCTTTTCCAGATTATCGTCAATCGCATCAGAGTTATTGATGTTAACCGCAAGCACGGCGACAACATTTTTATCGCAGTAACTGTCTATATCACGGTAGTGATCATCAGCGGCTTCATTATTTGGATCCCAGCCCGGATGCAAATTAGCCACTATTGGGAGTTCATCTCAGCGGCTTGGGATCGCACTGAGAAGTGTCTGTTCCTCATTATCGATTTGGCGCTCAACTGGTACTTCTTGAGAATGGTGAAGAACAATTTGATCCGCAACGGTCTCACAAAGTGTAAGCCAATCCATGCGCATGCTACACTACAAGGTCATCGCTGACATTTACGCTTACATTTAGACAACAAAATCGTTCAATTCAACCAGCGCATCATCGTTCTGTCAATCCTAATGGATATCATGCTTATCGCCGCTACCGCTATTCCCAAAGCCTTCGTGTGAGTCATTCTTCACCTATTTGTCTAGCTCCATTCTAACGATTCGCCATCTTAGCTACGTCCAATTTCACTCGCTATGCTACCTCGTCAAGCTCAACATCGAAATGGCCATGGCCAACCTAATCAGACGCATTGCCATCTCGAACTTCACCCGAACCGGTGCAGTACACGAGTTCAAGGACCCGTCTACCTATGCATCGGAATCTTACCACAACACCTTCGTCTCCAATCGCGGCAGTGTCCAGCTCGGCAGCGTCGGCAACATCAAGGCAACGACACACTACACCGTGACATCCGAGGCCAACCCATTCCCAAACAGGGGGCGTCAACCTTCGCGTGTCGAGGTGGATATCTCCAAGGGGAACACGGACAGCTATAGTGGGACGAATCGACCGGTGATTGTCATTGAGGAGCCCGAGACGAAGAGCTTGGACGGCGCGACAGAGGTTGCAGAGAGTTATCACACTGACGATGAGGCTGTGCTCGTAGAGAAGCGGGGCCATTGGTGATGTAGACTCGATCGATTTCTTCGCAATACTTGCTTCGATGATGGATGCAATACGGCTGAAGCCTTCGTATCGCGGCAAACTGCGCTGCGGAAATCCATCCAATCGACTAGTACTCGATGACACCGGTGCCCGCACCAGTTCTGGGACTTTGAGCCGACTTTAGGGTTGCAGCATGGAGTACTTGTACGGATTTTCAACGAACTCATTGGGTTGTGCCACGACAAGGATGCTGGGACATGGTGTGCAGCCGATACAGGAGGAACGACTTGGTCATTTGCTGAGGATGGCAGTAGTAAGATCATCTTGTTCCATAGTTTGGCTAGAATGTCGCTGTATCTAATAGTAATGATAACGAGCGGTGGAACCTTTCTTCCGTTTTACCTCACTCCACCTCAACACAGCAAGCAACGTTCATGACTTCGTATGCACATTTCTCACTCTGTTAATCATCGAGAAGTTCCACTTATGCTCCAGACACCTGCGGCATTCGTCAGAGCTTGTAGCCATGCGCATGTAGTAGCCTGGTACATCAGCTTCGTTTACCGTGCCACATACCACCTAACCTATCTGATACTAGCGCAAGGCTGCAACGGTAGGAACACCCCTGATGATAGCGTCTTAATATGCTGAACAGATTGCTCTTATTTACTACTTCAACTCCACCTATTTCGCCTTTCCAGAAACCATATACGTCTACCAACACCCACTCATACGTACACATCTGCCCAAGCCACTCCTCACCTCTATATTCCCCGCCGCTATGAAAGGGATTACAAAATTTTTCGACCACCTGTACCAGTACCCACGAGTGGACCAGCTCCATGCGTACCCTGAAGATTGGGGTGACAAGTCGCAAGAGGATAAAGCACAATTTATGGAACAGTTTCTGGAGCATTGGGGCTACACGATCTACAGAACATATTATGGCCCTGGATCTGATGAGCAGTGGACAAAGCTGCTCAAAGATATCACCGACGGTGTAGGAAAAGGTCTCGCCGAACTAGAGGAGGCGGACAAGAAGCCTGACGCTGTCAAGAAAGCAAGGGATTGGTTTCGACTCGATGCTCGTTCCCTTCCCACCACCTTGAACGGATTGACACTGGAAGACCTCCGGCAAGTGTATCGGGAAGGAAGTGGGGGCCAGCCGATGAGGGGGTCACAGCGCATGAACTTCGGCACCGCTATATTCATGGTGGCGGATGCTCAAGTGCTACAAGATCCTGACCTCAATCTGCTGAAAGTTGCGGACGCGAAGTATGACCCTGTTGCTGCTGTGCCAAAGAATTCCCGGGTTGGTCCGCAGCGATACTTTGGATGGTTCACTATCCCACCGACAGAGGTTTTGGACTTTTACAATGAGATGGATATATTCACATTTGAGCAAATCTCCAACCAGGCATTGCCAGGAACACACTGGGATGTGGGATGCACATGAATGGAAATAATAGACTACGTCTAGGTGTAGGAGACGGGTAGAACAGAGAAAATGAAGTTACAGTCCTGCGAGAGGGCAGTTGCAACGCTCACCAAGCGCAAACCTTCCCAGGACTAAAGTGTATTTGAGTGAAGTGTATGACTGCAAGTCTACCAACCAATCCCACCACGACCACCACCTTTACTGAATTCTATGTCTTGGTAGTCTCAATCAACGTCCATATCATCACCTACTTCCATCTCTTCGCTCATAGCGATTTGAACAAGTAGCATATCCCGATTAAAACTATACCATGTACAAGTAACACACGACGAAACGTCCTACGATCCTCTCTCTCGTAGTCCCTCTGTTTTCTCTGCTCTTTCTTCTGCCATCCCTTCTCCCGCCGTTCCCGCCGCTGCGTCTGCTCGCGGACGCTTTCAACATCATGCACCAGACTCCGTACAACCTGTTTCGCCTCGCGCTCAGATACCTCATGCCTTGCAGCAAGTTGCTTGATGAGGAGTTTCTTTATCAAATCCTCCCTTTCGCGGCGGGCAGCTTCGAGGCTTTGGGTACGAGCATTGTAGTTTTTCTCGCTGTCGGCGCCGGAGTAGTCTGTTGGCGGAGTGGCTGCGCGTGTGAGGTAGTGTTTTTCGATTGCTTTGACCAAACTGTCGTCTGGCAGGAATGGTCCTCCGGTAAGAGGCGCTTTGAGGTAGACACGTTCGTGTGCTGTAAAGGGGCAGGTGGCGCAGTGGAGTGCTGGATTGTGGACGATGCGTTTTGCAACGGGTTTCGAGACGGGCGTTGCAGAAGAGGACGCCAGTCGTAGTTGTCGCGGAAGTAGGCTTAGAACAGGCATTGTAGAAGATGCCAGTAGTTGCCGCGAAAGTGGGCGTGAGGCGTTAAAGATGTGTGTGCGCATCATGGGTAGAAGAAACGACATTATGGGGAGACTGGGTAGTTTTGATAGTTAAGACGACCTCGGGAGATGATTATGGGTATATGAGCTGTTTGAATTTTATTTTTTTCTGTATGCCATGTAGGCAGCAGGATAACATTTATCCGGTCGTGACAGTCACCTGGTTCTCTGCGGTTTTCCGTTGCAGTACCACGGTTCCAGAGAAGACACTCCACCGCCATACTTGACACATCGGAAGGATCCGGCTTGGAGACCACCCATGCATTCGTCCATACAGGCTATGATAATGGTAATCGCGCACGGAAAGAGGTGCTCGCAGAGAATGATTGCATATACCATCTACATGCGCGGGCTGGGGCGCCGGGTTGGCGGACGCGCTTGTAGATGATGCGCTCAGAGACAAGCTTGATAATCAGGTAGATGTTCAAAAGCCAAAATGAGACATATCGAAAGAACAAGAACACATCATAGCCAAAGGAAGGCAGGCAAGAGCGCCAAACCAACCACGTCTCCATTTCATCACCACCACCACGACTATCTAGTATCTACTACCACCAAACTCATCTACATGCTTTCTAAGGATATCATAGCTCTCGCAATATACGCTCACCAACAAACCAACGCAAGCGAATGACGTGAAAAAATGCTGTGCGAAAGATGCATGCTTATGTGACTGACGTCTATCCAAACGACCATCATATACACAACCCAAAAAGGAAACCACCGGGACCCGCCCAAGCAGCAATGACGATGCGTGAGTGGATGACCAGTGGGAAGAGAATAGACAACGTTCCCCTGTCCGTCATATACACATCCACCTCTTTCACAGGCAGGCAAGGGGATGACAAAGCCTACAAGAAAGGCAGCACCACACCCTTCCTCATCGGACTGCCCCTGCCATCCACCGTGCTGCCCTCAGCACTGTATCCAGAATCGCGATCGACGTCATCATTATCAAAGTCGATGTCGAAATCCGGTTCTTTCTCCTCCTCCGCCTCTTCGCCGTCCTCATCACCGTCCCACGCTTTCTGTGTCGCGCCGCGCGAGTTCCAGCGTAGCGTGCGGCTGATGCTATCGAACCACTCTGTGGGCTGGGAGAGGACAGTGGGGAAAGGGTATTGGGACGCGGCGATGGTGACGTGGTCGCCCTGGCGGAGCTCGACGCGGCCCTTGCCGTCGAAGGCGCAGTAGGCGGTTGCGCGCGACTTGAGGGGCACCGCGATGCGGAGGAGCATGCTGTCGTTGAGGAGCATGGGGCGGAAGGAAAGGGTGTGCGGGCAGATGGGGGTGAGGAGGATGGCAGGGATGTCTGGGTGCACGAGCGAGCCGCCTGCGGAGAGGGAGTAGGCGGTTGAGCCCGTGGGCGTGGAGAAGATGACGCCGTCGGCTTGGACTACGGTGAGCAGGTTGTTGTCGCCGTAGAGCTCGAGGTTCGAGACGTAGGGCGATGGGCCGCGGTCGATGACGAGCTCGTTGAGGACCTCGAATTGCTCGGCTTCAATGTGCGAGGGTGAGCCTTGGGCCGCGGCGTTCTTCTGGTACCGGTATACCGTGCATGTGAAGCGCATGCGCAGGTTCACGCGCATACCTGTTTCGCACATGATCTTGTCGAGCGCGGGCCTGTACTGTGCGAACTCGAAGTTGGTGAGGAACCCGAGGCTGCCGAGTGAGAAGGAGAGGATCGGTGGCACGATGCGCTGGAAGAGCCATGAGGTGAAGAGGACGGTGCCGTCTCCACCGAGAGTAAGGACAAGGTCAAAGATCTCAGGGGTTTCCCAGCATAGATCTGGTGTCCACCAGCGGAGCATGTTCTCATAGCGTTTGTCCTTGGCCAACAGCGAGGCTGCGTCGAAGCGCTTCGACTTGCGCAGCTTGTGGTCTACGTAGACGTTCACACCCACGTCTGAGCCGTAGCGCGAGGTCGTCATGAGCCATTCTGCCAATTCGCGCGTGAGGTATACAAGGTTGTTGTCGCGCGCCTTGGTGACAATCATGACATTGCGCACCGTCATCTTGATGGGTCGGCGCTGCAACTGCTTCGAGACCTCACGGACGCTGTTCGCGGTCTGCATGAGCCTCGAATGCGATATCGTGTCGTCCTCGGCATCGCTCATCTCCTCCATGACCTTTCCAAGGTTCACGGCCTTGTCAAACTTCTTGTGGAAAAAGCATGGTGATGCGAGCGCAGCCATCTTGCTGGCGGAAAGGTCGGCCGAGTGCAGTTCCAGCTCGTTGAGCGCCTTTGCGAGTTGCGAGTGCGTGATGCTCTTTGAGCGCGCACTCTTCCCTGCGCTCTCCATTATGGCGGTGTCCATGGACTGTGACGTCGACGATGGTGGTGGCCGAGACTGCAACGCCTTAAGAATGGTCTGGCGGGGGATCGCAGAGTCGATGGAGCAGGCGTTCTTGCGGTGCTTCCGGATGCGATGCTCGCCGAAAGAGGGCACGCGCGGGAGGACGGAGAGGTTCTCGATGGACGAGGACTTGGTGATAACGGTGGGGTCGTCGTTGCGGGAGGATTCGTCCGATGTCAGACTGGCTGGATCTTGTGTTGCAGCGGGCGTACCGCCAATTTCTTGCGTTACTACCGATGCATTATACGGCGCGTCCTGGGGGCAGTGGACGCTGGTCTGCGGAGGCTGTGGAGACTCTGGGCGGGTGGGATTATTAAATGAGGCATCGGCATCGACGGGGTTAAGGTCGGAGAAACTTGAGTTGGGCGCCTGTGGGGACAGGAGCGGATGAACCTTGGCCGGACTAAACGGCTCCCCATTCTGGTATGTTGCCGATAACATCGTCGCTTGATTCTGTCTTAGTGATCGAGCTTCGTTAAGCGCGCTTGGTGTGCAGGTTGGCGAGTGCGATATTAATCGGCGTCGTTATTCGGTTGCGGCGGCAAATGTGTTCGCAAAGTATGTACAGCGAAAGATGAACGTGTCCAGACAGTTCGGTCAAAGGTAATAAATGCTCCAGGCAAAATGAAAAGGAGAGGAAGGAAGCGAGGGATTGTACTACTGCATGGGCGCGAGTCGTAACGTTGTGTGATGGCTGCTAACGGTGATCGTGTAACCCGTCGTGGAAGTAAAGATTATATTGAAGGAAGAGCCCGGCTCGACCTTGTACAAAAAAGAAGAAGAAGAAAACGTGAAGTGTGCACGACGGTGTCGTGGCCGAAAGAGCGAAGGCGCAGGTGGGGGAAAGACAGTGGTGCAGCTTGAGGCAGGTATTAGGCACGATGCGAGACCTACTATATTCACTCTCCGTCTCAATGACATCTCTGCCACCGCCATTATGGAGCAGTGCCACATCACGATCCCATGCGCCAGCCTCAAACCAAAGATTCCGCCATCTGTAGCGGCTAGCCCGCCGGCAACGTTGTGACACTTCGCGTGTCACAAACTCGTGGGTCCACGCCGGAGCATCTGCCAAACATAGAACGACGCTTCACCCCAAACCGCGATCTTGACACAGATCACAACGGCCCAGAAGTTCCTGTCATCCTGTCTTCGCAGGCACGCTCCGCAGCATGGCCACACCGCTGGATTGACAGAATCCTTCGATGACCCTGAGGATCATGGTCGAGAAGCGCTCGCTCACCGACGGGTCTCAGTTGTCGGATCATACCGACACCCTCCGTGTTTGATCCACACTTCGTTTACAAAGCCACAGCGGGTACTACAGTCAAGGGGAATTGTAATCGTGATTCAGTACGAATCGCATCACCGCAAAAGTTATGCCATCTGTCGGCTGTACTAGCGAGATCATTTGGAGGACGAAACGACCCAACGTGGCCTAGTCCGCAGCCAACAGTAATCGGTTGCTTCGAATCTTCATCTGGTACAGGAGAGTTTTAGACGAGACAGCTCACTCCTCGCTAAATGTAGACCTCTTTGACACGTCTACCGGGCGATTGCGGACTGCATGACATTGCTGCCGTTAGTACCGATGGCCCACAGACCTCATACGCCACGCATGGCTAAGACATGGAATGGAGATGTGGCAAGCGTGTACGGCACATGTCGCGTGGAACATTGAGTGAAGTGGGCTCATAACCGCTACCGACATGGTTGCAGGGCCCGTCTCCGTGTCGTTTCTGTCCACTCACAGGCAAGCGACTGTGTGTTTGCCTCAGGGCTCAAGCTGGTTGCTGAAACTCGCGCATGAGAACAGCCTGCCCAGGCACCATTTCTCACTAAGCGTCCGAGAGCCTCAACTGCCGATGTCCTGAAAGCTGGACGCATTGTTGTGCGCTGGCAAGTGGGGTGCGGTCCGAAGCGCAAGAAGTAACCAGGCGCTTGTGGCTGTCATGTCGCCGGCTTGGTGTAGAACGTTACTAGTTAGCAGAACAATCATGCCTGAGCGTATGCAGTCGAAAGTATCGATGTTTCGTTGGGTATGACTTTACAGTCTTTTGATATTCATCACATATCGTGGTATCTAGTGAGGTCGTAACGAAAAGAAATTCGACAAGCCAGACGCTTATTGGAGAGCCTTGCGAGCAAAGGTGGGCAGAACGAAAGCCGCCTCGTGGATCTCCTTGCTGTAGTACCTGCAAAGCTGCTCCTCCTCTTCGGTAGACCAGCTGCGAAGGGGCTTCTTGAGGTCGCGGTTGGCGTCCTTGCTGCAGACCATGAAACCGATCTGGCCGGAGGGGTAGGTGGGGATGGTGGTGTAGCCGTACTCGACGTTGGGGAAGACCTCCTTGCAAGCCTTCTTGAGGTTGACAATGAGGGGCATGTGAAGCCATTGGTTCTCGGCTATACAAGAATGTTAGCCAATGACCAAAGCAGCACCTTTCCGGCGCATGGCGGTCGAAAAGTGGACGTGAACTGAGCGGACTAGGAGAGGGCTTACAACCTTGGGTGGTAATGACACCGCCTTCGCGGAGCGCACCGTTGAGCAACTCGAAGTAGGACTTCTGGAAGAGAGCCTCGGCGGGACCCTCTGGGTCGCTAGAGTCGGTGATGATGACGTCGAACTCGCCCTTCTTGTCCTCGAGGAACTTGAAGCCGTCGCCGACGATGGTGGTGGTCTTGGGGTGCTCGAAGCCGACAGACATGCCGGGGAGGTATTGCTTGGAGAGGCGGATGACAGCCTCGTCGATGTCGCAGAGAGTGGCCTCCTTGACACAATCGTGCTTGACAACCTCACGGAGGACACCACCGTCACCACCACCGATGACCAAGACCTTCTCGGGGTTGGGGTGGGCGTTCATGGCCAAGTGGGTGATCATCTCCTGGTATCTGTTCTACTATTAACCATTGTCCCCGTATTCCCATCCGGTTGTGACGTACGAGAACTCATCGCGCTCGGTGCATTGGATGACGTTGTCGAGGACGAGGACGGTGCCGTAGTTGGTCGACTCGAAGATGAGGACGTCCTGGTACTTGCTCTTCTCGTGGTGAAGAACCTCCTTGACCTGGAGGGTCATGGCCTGGCCGGGCCACATGCCGGAGATCTCGCGGAACCAGCCATCTATACCGAATGTCAGCAATTGAAAGGGTGTGATTGTATGACTGCTGTAAAAGTCGAGTTTACTTACCCTTGATGGTAGGGTGTTCAATGGCAGGCATCTTGAAGGATTTGTGTGTAGAAAAAGGTGTATAGAGGAAAGGTGATCTACGGGAGTAAACAGAAGATTGACAGAGCTGTCGCCGGATATATATGGGGACCTTCAGGTTGGCGGAGTTTTTGCTGGTGTTTGCGTTGGGCACAATTTTCTAGGCCTATGCACGTCACTGGTCGCGCGCGCCGTACCTGCCCCGCCATCCCCCACCATCATCCCGGGAAGGTCCAGCCGCAAGGCATCTACATTGGGTAGCATTATCTCCATCTCACGTCTGCACTTCATGCCTGCCATCCCACGTCCCTCCTTTGCGTGATTTTCGCGGACAGACGGCGCGGATGCGACACCGAGTTGATGTAGAGGGTGGCTAAAGCAGTGCTGACAATGAGGGCGGCCGTCAGCCTGCAAGGTTCATACTAACACGCAAATGGGTGTAGACTGCAGGTAGGAGGAGCATAAAGAGCCGGGACACAACGCTCACAATGAGATCAACACGTAGTTTCATTACCACTGGGTATCACTCAGAAGCAGCCCAAACATGACCGAAGTCGTTCCAGTGCAAGACCCAGCCCAGGAGGAACGCAGCAGAGTAGAGCAAGTTGTCGCGACCAAGGCATATGTGAAGGATCCTGAGCTACTACCATGGTACACGAAGCAACTTGAAGAGCCTAGTCCGGAAACGAGAGATCTGTTCGAAAGTTACAGCAGGGTACCAGCAGCGGACATCATCACGCATATCAAACGTGTGAGAGATGAAGCATTCTCGGTCGTGAGTCTAGTCTGCCATGCACAACAAGAGCGAGCTGTACTAACGATCTTGTAGTTCCCGTATCCTTGCTTGGGAAATTGGGGTTTCTTGAACTTTTCTATCGAGAAGAACCCGGCCTACCAGGAAGTCCTCAGTCGCATTAAGGACGGGGAGCAATTCCTCGACCTTGGATGTTGTATGGGCCAGGACATCCGCAAGCTGGTGCACAACGGCGCGCCCTCGGAGAACACGTACGCGTCCGATGTCAAAACAGACTTCTGGGGCTTTGGCTATGATCTGTTCCTCGACAAGTCAACTCTGCAGACACAGTTCATGGAAGCCGACATCTTCGACGCCGACTCGGAGCTGAAGCAGGTAGACGGCAAGATGGACATGATCAATGCCGCCTCATTCTTCCACCTGTTCGATTGGGACGGTCAGGTCAAAGCAGCTAAGCGCGTGGTCCAACTGTTGAGGCCAGTGGCTGGAAGTCTCATCGTTGGACGCCAAGGTGGCAAGCCCGAAGCCGGCAGCTTCTCACACCTCATAAAAGAGCAGACTGCTTTTTGGCACAATCCAGAGTCCTGGGCGAGCATGTGGAAGCAGGTCGGGGAGGAAACTGGAACGGAATGGAAGGCTGAAGCTGTACTTGGTGAAGAAGATCTATCGAAGAGGATGAAGACGAAGCTTGTGCCTGCCGGTACAAGGTTCATGACCTTTACTGTACGTCGGGTGTAGCGGCTTATCGTTAGGGGTAGTATTTGGTGTTGATAGATACAGTCATTGGTTCACATACATTTGTATGCATCTCCCTCTATCTGATGACATGATGGTAGCTGCTATATGGGGATTGCGGAGCAGCAGCCAATGAGCGTCATCCAGGGTCCGAGCAGACAGGCCAAACTCAATCTGGCTTCAACACGATTGCATCTCCAATCCATAGCCCATTGATACCAAATCTTCCCGTCGCTCACTCAATAAAGTCACCTCACACATACTTCAACCATGGACCCCTACTCGCCCGAAGGAGGTTCGTCAGATCGCCAGCCACGCCAGCTCAAGCCCCACTAACGACTGTCCAGAGCTCATAAACATCCACTCGGCCTTCCATGCCGGCGCCTACCAGCAAGTCCTCGATTTCGACACGTCGTCCTTTTCCGCGTCAAATGCGCTGCCCGTTCGCGTCCTCAAACTCCGCAGCCAAATCGCGCTAGGCCAAGCACAAGCCGTTTCCAGTGAGCTCGCATCCGAGAAGACTCCAGATCTGGTCGCAGTAAAGCTACTGGCAGACTGTGAGCAGGGCAAAGACGTAGTAGACCAGGCGAAAAAGCTGGCAGAGCAACATGGACAGGAAAACCTGACAGTGCAGCTTTGCGCGGGCATTGTCTTGGAGAGGGCGGGCGAGACGGAGGCTGCGCTTGATGTGCTGAGCAAGCACCAGGGCAGTTTGGATGCGTACGTTGGACATTCTCTCTGCGTGGACTATTCTGGAAATCATGGCTAACATTCGGACAGCGTAGCACTCATTGTACAAATCCACCTCCAACAAAACCGCACAGATCTGGCCGCAAAGGAGGCCCAGCGCGCACGGAAATGGGCACAAGACAGTCTGCTGGTCAACATTGCTGAGAGCTGGGTTGGCATGCGCGAGGTAGGTCCCCTAATCCATCATTGTCACATGTCATGGCACTAACATCACTCAGGGCGGCGAGAAGTACCAGTCCGCATTCTACGTCTTCGAAGAACTAGCCACGACCGCTCAATCCACCTCTCCACACTCGCTCGTCGCACAGGCCGTATCGGAAATCCACCTCGGCCGCCTCCCAGAAGCCGAAGCCGCTCTCCAACAAGCCATTTCCATCGACGGCACCTCGGCCGACACAATCGCAAACCTCATCGTCCTCAACACACTGCTGGGAAAGAAGGAAGAGACTGAACAACTAAAGTCACAGCTGCAAACCTCCGCCCCACAGCACAGGGCAGTCGCAGATTGGGCGAGCAAGAAGGCCGAATTTGCCAGTGCCGCCGCAAAGTACACACCAAAGTTCGAGGTTGCTTCATAGGAGGAGGACGCCTTTGCGCACTTGGTGTCTACAGGAGTGGTGTATCAAGACGTGGATGCTACTGAGCCCAAGATCAGGCCTGGAGAGACAACATTCGACGGCGCTACTTAGGAAAAGCGGAACGCCACGACTGTGGAACGAAATATCACGAATATGTTTACGCATCCGACGGTGCAAGACTTGAAGGCTGCCGGTACGTGGGCATCCGATAGCGATGATGAAAATGAGGAATATCGTAAGAAAAAATAGACGACATTGCAAACATGTGCGTGTAACGCATATGCAACGGTTTGTAACGGAATTGACTGCAGCGCAAACACCCGTCATCTCTACACCCCTTTGACATTCCGGACACCATACAAGGATGCTACTGTCTACCCATGTCACTGTTATCTCTAGCAGCTGTCAAAGCTACCGGAATATTCACTCAATGGATCCCTCCGGGTACAGAGAAGAGGGACGATTTAAAAGCACTTATAATTTTTCCACTAACTCAGCTGTACACAAGAGTGTGGGGGCGAAGATAGGTTTGCCTCAGCCTTGCATGATGTCTCTAATCCATATCAAGAAGGCCCGTGCACGAGGGTCCTTCACAGTCACTGTGGGGTAAACGTCACGATAGCATAGTCCATCAACTCTACGTCAACAAACGGAAAAATGTCAGGAATGCCTCGTCACAACATCTGTGGCTTCACCTCGAGCCCCAGTCAATAATCTCTCTACACTGACAAGGCTGAACGTACCTAGGTAGGCAGCTCCTCGTGTAACACACATCTGTGACATCACACCACCTACGCCCGTCAGCACTTGAGCCTCTCCCCGCAAACAGCCAGACGACACCAACGCGTGTCCACCTAGTTTAAAGACCTAGCCTCCCAGCAACCCGGGTTTAGAAGCAATGACCCACCGCCATCCCAGGGCTAGTAGTAGCATACCGCCAGCTCCACGGCACGCATCATCATGTCTTCGCTACTAGAGTACCGACCTCTAGCTCAGGACGAGTTTCGGCTGCTCATCCTCATCCCTGCAGTGTCAATAACAGCTCCACTCAGAGTGCACGTTTTCCACGATAATGTATACAACCCCGAAGCATCCTACGCCGCACTATCGTATACCTGGGCGTCCAAGCTCGAAGGAAACGACTACAATAGCAACGACGTACTCGAGTCTGTGGATGTAGACGGACACGAGACGTTCCTACACCAGAATCTAGCCAAAGCCCTGCGGTCTATCCGTCTCGAAGTCCCGCAGTGTATCTGGGCGGATGCCCTGTGTATAGACCAGAACAACATCCCTGAGCGCAACATCCAAGTCACGCTCATGCGACAGATCTTCTCCAACGCAACGAATGTATGGGCTTGGCTCGGCCCACCGGCGAAAGGAAGTAATCTAGCCATGGACTTCCTCACCGACCTAGCCAGTCGCGCTGATGAAGTAGACATCGGCCCATGGCTTGGAAACGAAGGCATGCACCCAGATACATATCCCACATGGGAAGGTCTCCGAGCCCTCATGGCGCGAAACTGGTGGAAAAGAGCCTGGATAGTACAAGAGTTCGCGCTCGCCAAAGACGTCGTCTTCATCTGCGGCACGCGCCGCCTCTCCGCCGATGCCCTCGAGGCAGCCGACCACCTCATCTTCATGGAATTCACGCCTTCGAAGAACGAACGCGTGACAGCTTTAACACGCGCCGTGGACATCAACCCGCGCGTCCTCGATCCAGCGCGCAATCTCATGAGTCTGCGTCGACGGCTGCAACAAGGCGAACAGCTTTCCGCGTTAGCGACGCTGCAGATGACGAGATTGACCAATGCGACGGATCCGCGGGATCATTTGTTTGCCAAGATAGGGCTCTCAGTGACGGAGTTGGTGCAGTTGTGTCCACCGGATTATAATGCTCAGGCGGAGGATATCTGGTTTACGTTCCTCAAGGAATTTATACGGCAGAAGCAGGATCTTTATGTTGTTTATCTGGCGGGAATGCAACCGCGGACGCACTATGCATATGCACTCCCGTCATGGCTACCCGATTGGGGACCGTCGAAACCGCAGTATATGCTTTGCTCGCTGTTTACGGGGAAGCAATGGCCATTTTTTGATGCGGCGAGTGGTGCGGCTGCTGTTGCGACTATTTCGAGCGAGAAGATGGAAGAGGGTATCTTTCTGAGGTGTAAAGGGCTTGTGGTCGATACTGTA